GCCGCGCCGCCGCCGCCCTTCTGGTCCGAGCCGCCCCTGGCCCTGCGCCGCCCGCTGGCTCTCGCCTACGACCACGGCGGCCCCCGCTGGACGCAGCCCAGAGGCTTCGCGAACAGCAGGTGGGTGCAAAGGGCCCGTTCGGGGGCGAGTTCACGTTCGCCCCAATTGGGGCTCAAGGAGGCGGGGCCGGGACCTTTTCGCAGGCTTTCTTGGAAAAAGAGCCCCTTTTACGATTGCCGCGTTGCCGATCGGATGAGCCGTCTCGCACTCGTTTACACAACCGCTTGCAATTTTCAACAGTAGGGTCAATTCTCCGTGTCGGCGCGTCAGCTCGCGGCGCTCGAGAGGATCGACGGCCGGGCCCGAGGCGCTCACCGTGCTCTTTTGCAGCGCCGCGCCGGCTTGTCCCGAAACCGTGTGCGGGCAAGGCGAGGACGGCGCGCGCGGGCTCAAGTCCGACACGCGCTTGTGCGCCGTGTGTCACGACTACGCGTCGGGCTACCACTACGGCGTTTGGTCCTGCGAGGGCTGCAAGGCTTTCTTCAAGAGGAGCATTCAAGGTGAGGACGAGCAAAGACGGCTCGGAGTTGATCTTGACTTCAAAGAAGTGAGCCGTCGCCTCGGGTTTGCCTCCGATGACCTCCGCCCCTTGACGCTGGCAGGACACAACGACTACATCTGCCCCGCCACCAACCAGTGCACCATCGACAAGAACCGCCGCAAAAGCTGCCAGGCCTGCCGCCTGCGCAAATGCTACCAAGTGGGCATGATGAAGTGCGGTACGTCTGCGCACGCGGCCGGCGCTCGCGTGTCGCGTGCCGGCGGAAGAAACGGCGGTGGGAGGCGAAGCGCGGTCCAGACTGGAAGGGAAGGCGTGTCTCGAGGCGCCCGGGGCCCCTTCGCTCTTCTTGTGGGAACGCGAACGGGAGTTTGCACAACTGGCGGGCCGTTTGCCCGAAGGAAAAAGACAAAAAAATGCACGTTGATCCTCGTTATAATTGCCATGAAGATAGGAAATCAAAACATTGAACGCAAACGAACAACCGGGGCCACGGGGAAAAAAAAAACAGCAGGAGTAACAAACAACCCAAGAACGGACTTCCAGTCCAACTCGGGAAGCTCCCGTGAAATTCGATGTCGCTGTGCAGAGGATCGAGAAAATAGGATGCCGACTTGAGCTCGTCGATGGCACGTCGCATTCGTGTTAGCGCGAAGCTGGCCGGCCGCTTTCAGCGCGACGCCGTTTTTGCGCGTTGGCGTTTCTTGCCCGTTTAGTTTGAGAGGAGACTTCGGGTGGGAGCGGGGAGCCTCCCCCCGACGCAAGCTGCCGCCGGACGGCGCTCGTGTGTCCAGTTTGCGCTCGCAGATCAAAGCGGAAAATGGGCGAAAGAACAACTGGGATGTGGGAAAGCGCGTCGGCGGGCGCTCGCGTTTGTCCAAAACGCGAGCGCCGGCCAAGCTCACTTTTGGTTGCCGTGACGCAGGCGTGAGGCGCGAGCGCCGCGGCTTCCGCCAGCAGCGCCGGGGGCGGGGGCGTCACCTCCGAGCGGAGGCGCCCGCCGCGGGCCAGAGCGCCGAGGACTTTGTCCTGCGCATCATGGAGGCGGAGCCGCCCGCCATCTACCTGATGGAGGAGCAGAAGAAGCCCTTCACCGAGGCCGGCGTGATGATGTCGCTCACCGGCCTGGCCGACAAGGAGCTCGTCCTCATGATCGGTTGGGCCAAGAAGATCCCGGGTGAGGCCGCGCTCCGATCTTGGTCGTCGCCGTGCTTTCAAAGCGGCGGGGAAATGATTTTGCGTTGGCGTGCGCAGGCTTCGTGGAGCTGAGTCTGTCCGACCAGATCCAGCTGCTGAAATGCTGCTGGTTGGAGGTCCTCATGCTGGGCCTGATGTGGCGATCGGTCGACCATCCCGGGAAGCTCGTCTTCTCGCCCGACTTCAAGCTCAACAGGTCAGCTCGCGGCCGCCGGCGACCGCTCCGTCCATGGGCGAGTTCAACCTTTTTGCAAACAACTTCTCGTATTTCCGCCTTCGGTTTTGCCACCCAACAAATCAAGCCAACCAAGAGACCAACCGCTCTTGACGACGTTTAAGGAGCAAAGGCCGCCGTTCACTGGCGTTTCACGCACTCAAGGTCAAATCCAAAGTGCGCTTGAGCTCCTCCAAAGTACCGTCGCACTCCAAAATGAAAAGCCATCAAAAATTTGCGCCTCCATGAGCCGCTTCGGCCTCACGGCCGCTGGTCCCCGCCGGGGGGGGGCTCTTGTCTCCATCGGAGAGAGCGGGAGATGCCCTCCTCCCCCCCCACCAGCGCAGTGTAGCGGAACCTCTCTTGGACTCTTGTTGACGCACGAGGCCAAGTCAAAGCTAAGAGCGCCGTCGCACCGCACGCGGCCGCATTTAGCGCACAATTTCAAAGCGATTCAAGACGTCTCTTCCGACAGCCGGAAGCGGCTTGCGGCCCGCGTGACTTTGCGCTTGTCACTCGCCATTGCCGCCGGCGGCCAGGAGGTCTTTTCTGGAAAGGGAGCCACCCCGGACCGCCAAAGCGGTCGTGCTGGCGGGGAAAGGCGCTCGCTCAGCGGGAGCTTGGAATTGCGAGCGGAGGCGCGGCCGGCCGTAGATGCTGACTAGCGTGTGTGTGTGTGTGCATGCGCGCAGGGAGGAGGGCGAGTGCGTGGAGGGCATCGTGGAGATCTTCGACATGCTGCTGGCGGCCACGGCCAGATTCCGAGAGCTCAAACTGCAACGGGAGGAATACGTCTGCCTCAAGGCCATGATCCTCCTCAACTCAAGTCAGAACGCAACACGCACACGCACGCACACACACACACCGCCCCCCCCAAAATGATGTGAAAAGCGTCTCGATGCAAACGGCTCGACCCGATGATGCGTGTCCAAATCTCGGGGTGAAAGCCCTTCATGGAGTCGACGCCCGTCGCCGCTTCCCTCGAGAGCGTTTCTTCCGCAAAGTGCCGCTTCACGGCCGCCTTCTTTTTTTTTCCTGCCTGCGCCGTCGCCGACTTTCACGAGTGGCGAGATTTGCGCCTTTTCCCAGACGACACTTGGGCTCCGAATGTCTCGTCCTGCGAGGATTGTCCGACTGGCCGACTGGCTCGAGGGCACGATTGCGAGCGCTTCGCTTTGCTTTGCTCGCAGACGTTTGCACGAGTTCCCCGCAGACGTCGGAACAGTGGGCCAGCAGGAAGAAGCTCCTGCGGCTTCTGGACCGCGTGATCGACGCGCTGGTTTGGGCCATCTCCAAGAGCGGCCTCAGCGGCCGGCAGCAGACGCTGAGACTGGGACACCTCACCACGCTCCTCTCGCACATTCGACACGTCAGGTCCGCCGCCGCCGCCGTTTCTTAGCCCGCCTGTGGCGCTCGCCCCTCATGCCTTCGCGTGGCGCTCGCGGACGAAAGGCGAAGCGGATGTCGTCGCCCTCTACGAAGCGGCGCACGGACGAGCGAAGCCGCGTTAAGCGCGAACGTCGACGCCGCCTCTCCCCAAAAGAGCCCACCTTTCGCAAGCCACTCGAATTGGGAGTCGCCAAGACATGCCGAGCGTGAGCCCGAGAGACTGCGCGACAAACGGGTGATCCGATTCATCGGCAACCATTTTGCTCCGCGCGCGCTTCAAATTGCCCCAAATGGGCCCACCTTCAGCCTCCCGACTCGTTCTTCATCTTGCACGAAAGCGCGGCGTTTGTCTTTTCCGAGAACCGCCTTTGGCAAACAGTGAGCGACAATTTTCCGACAGATGTTCCCAACCAAAGCGGGAAGTGAATCGGCGTGAGTCACTTTGTGCGTTTCCCAAACTGTCAACTCGTGTCCCATTTTTGGGTTTGGAGATGAAAGAAATGAAGAAAAAAAACCCAACAAAGTTTGGCCCTAATCGATCGCAAACAAGAACCCTATCGCAGAGTGCTTTTTTTAACCCCCACCCCAAAAAAAAAAAAAAATGTGACAAAGGAACGGCTGACTGTGTGTGGTCTCCATAGCAACAAGGGCATGGAGCACCTGTGCAGCATGAAGCGCAAGAAGGTGGTGCTGGTGTACG